ATGGGCTGTAGCCATTACTTTAGTGTTGTTATGAGGCTCCTGACTGTGAGAATGAGTGGGTCTCTGATCTTTTCTCTGCTCTTAGGACTCTTTCCCCCCTATTGGGTTGCCATGTCCAACTTCCATGTGAAAGTTTTTGTTTCATATTAATATATTTTATTTTGTCATGTTGTCACTTAGAAGCCTGTTCTTTTCTCTTTTTTTTTTTTTTTTTTTTTTTTGTTTTTTGAGACAGGGTTTTTCTGTGTAGCTTTGGAGCCTATCCTGGCACTTTCTCTGAAGACCAGGCTGGCCTCAAACTCACAGAGATCCTCCTGCCTCTGCCTCCCGAGTGCTGGGATTAAAGGCATGCACCAGAAGCCTGTTCTTTTCTAATGAGAGATGGAAAGGGAGTTGATCTGGAACTGGGTAGGAGCTGGAAGAAGTAGAGAAAGGAAAAACTATAAGAAAAGAATCTATTTTCAGTAAAAATAAGAAAATAGTAAAAAAAGTAGTAGTAGTAGTAGTAATAATAATAATAATAATAATAATAATAATAATAATAGAAAAATGCCCTAACTAACTGCATGCTTCTAGCTTCTGTTAAACTGCTTGCTTGCTTGCTTGCTTGCTTGCTTGCTTGCTTGCTTGCTTGCTTGCTTGCTTGCTTGCTTTACTCCCCCTGCAATTGCCAACCAGGAAGTAGTTTTTCTGTTCTTTACCTTTAGAAACTCCCTGTAAAATCTATCCGAGGCTGCTCCATGAGAAGTGTTTCTCTACAGGCAGTCACCAGCAGGCTTTAGTACAGACTCCGTTCAAAGTGTGGTTGAGCTGAGTGGTCTGTGTCTGTGTCTCTCTCTTCCCTGCAACAAGAAACAGGCTCATCATTCATGACAGTTCGAAGGAAAGATTCCCAGGCCTGGAGAAAGGCCTCAGTAGTCTGGAAGCACTAGGGAAGGAGGCACACTGGAGAACCCTGTTAGATTGGCGGCTTAGAAGATGGGACTGTCACCCAGTTTAGGTTGGACCAACTGAGTTCTTATAGCAGATCATTTCCAGACAAACAAAGAATCAGGAACATGGATGGCTCTAGAATAAGTCAGCACTTGTATTTATGTGCAATTAACATGAACCTCTGGTGTGAGGAAATAGGAAAGAACCAAAGAGTAGAGTTCCCTAGGCAGTGGTGGCGCACACCTTTAATCCCAGCACTAGGGAGACAAAGGTAGGTGGATCTCTGTGAGTTCAAGGTCAGCCTGGTCTACAAGAGCTAGTTCTAGGACAGCTAGGTCTACACAGAGAAACCCTGTCTGGGTGGGGGGTGGGGAGGGAGCAGAGTTCCCAGGTCTGGTCTAAAAAACGAAACCTGTACTCAGCAGCTATCTGCTGAGGAGAAGGCCACTGTCCCTTGGAAACAAAACAGGAAACTCTTTATTGTGGCCATATCTGACACTTCTGATGTGCAATGAGCAGGAATTCCAATCTATCATTACTTTAAAAAAAGAAGTATGCCATCAACTCTGCCTTAAAGGCCTGTAGTTAAATGAGATGGGCTATAATTCTGTCTCCTCTGTGGTCAAAGTCCTGGTGACCATCATCCCAGGCTTCCTGTCCAGGATTCTGTGTGCATTGGTTGTTTTCCTTGCCCCAGTGCTGGATCAATGGGGTTGGAAATTCATGTTTCAGTTTGTGAATTAACTGAGATTATTTTGTGTGATGGCTAATTTGAATTATCATGCTAGTTGGATTAAGAAATGACTAGGGTGTTAGTCAAAGCTCTGGGTATGTCTGTGAAGGGGTTTCCATCACAGGGCTGAAGGACTCTGAGCTAATCCATTAATTAATCCTTTGGTGGGTTCTTATGATGATATTATTGGGAGGTGGAGAAAGGTGGGAGGTGGTGACTTACCGTGACACCTTCCTGTGTTGCCAGCCTTCCTTTGCATACTGCCTTCCAACAAGTGAGGAACAGCTTCTGCCACATGCTCCCACACCAAGATGCTCTGCAGGAGCCCACATCTCTGCTCTAAACTGTTGATGGTGTTGGTGGTGGTGTTATAGGGACACAGAAGTAAGCAATGCACTTGGCTTCTCACGTGTTCTGTTGAAAATTATTCCTTCATGGGTGACGCAATTGTCTTTCCGATGCTTGCTTTGGGTCTCTGCTCAAAACTATTACTATAAGCCAGCACAGTTAAATGTTTTCCTTTATAAGAATTGCTGTGGTCATGGTGTCTCTTCACAACAATAGAAATCCTAACTAAGACAGAAGTTGTGCTGGAGACTGGGGTATTGCCGTGAGAGACCTGACATGTTTTTATTTGAAGGAATATGGACCTTGGGACTATGGATTAGAAAAGCAGTTGAATGCTTTAAGCACTACTTAATGGACCATAATAGGAGGAGCATGGAAGATCTGAACCATGGGGGGCTGGCTCAAGAGGTTTCAGAGGAGAAGAATGTTAGTATATGGCCTAGAGACTGGTCCTGTGATATTTTGATGAAGCATGTGGCTGCTTTTTGCCCTTGTAAGTCTGCCTGAGGCTAAAGTGAAGAGATTTGGACAAATTCCATTGGCAGAGGAAATCTCCAAACAGCCCAGTATAGACTCTGACGTGTAGTTAGTTACTGGTGTTCATGCTTACAAAGATTTATAATGAAAAGGAGCAAGCTGAGGATAAAAGGAGCACCAGGAAGTGGACTGGAGGAGATAAACGGATTAAGAAACAGACTAGAGGAATTGTAGAGATTCATACCAGTGGAGAGAGAGCCATATATATACATACATATAATATATATATGTGTGTGTGTGTGCATATATATATATATATATTCATTTTGCTTTTCAGTGCTGATGATAGTCCGGAGCCTCCTCCTTTATATTAGACACATACTTAACCATTGAGGTATATCCCTTGTATCCCTTGTATCCCTAGACCTCTATCTACTTAAGACAAAGGCTTACCCTTGGTTTTCTTTCCTCTTGTGATTAACAAATACATCCAAGAATGACTTAATGGCAGCCTATACATTTTGAGATGTCATAATTTCAAGTTTAAAATAAGTTTTCCTCATTATAAGGCAGTAGATGTTCAATATTTTAAACATAGACATCAGATAAGTACAGCAGAGTACAAGTAGTCTGCACTCTTCTCATCCAGAGTGACCATAGTGGGCTTCCCAGGTCTGGGTTAACAGTCACTTTAAGTTTTCCTTTTCAATAGCACACATATATTTATTTGAAAATAAAGTATGGTAAATACATCATTTGAAAGCTGTTTTGCTATTGCCACCTTTTAAAATGACTACTTTATAGTCTTTTTTTAACTAGCAGAACAGTACTGTAATTATTCTCAATGTGACAGCTGTTCGTATTATGGTATGACCACTTGAAAAAGGAATGAACCACAAAGAACAAAGTTGGCAGCTAACTATAGTCCTGGAGGTGGCTTCCAGCGGGGAGGGAGGTGCTCACAAATAGCCTGAGGATAACTGCAGAGCCTCTGCCCACCCTCTTTGGTGAGCAATGAGGACTTACACACCAGGGACCTGTCACACTGCTTCCCTGGTGCACTCTTCCTTTGAGATGATAAAAATCTCTGTAGATTCTGTTCTCCAAATTACTAACATTAACTATTTCTAAAGACACCAGTAAGAATAATTTTTTCTGTTGTAAAATGAACTCAAGAAAAAACAGTTCCACAAACAGTAGTCACTTTGGGGCCATGAATATTTAATAGACCATTTCATGGTCAGGAAGTCAAAGATACTTGAAATCAACATTGATCTGTCAGCCACACTTAGCAGGCCCCTGGTATCAATTCATACTTGCAAATGAAATGGCAAAATACTCTTCAAAAATCTGCCATCGATTAAGGAAAGCAATTTATGAGCTAGACCATAATCTAATACCATGATTTCATGAGGCATAGTTTGGCCTCATGTCAAGTTTGAGGTAGCAGTAGGTTTCATAGATACTGTTGCTAAGTGTGTCAGGAGAAAACTGAGAACTCTTATTCAAAAATAGCAATGGGATTGCTCACCGTTCTCACAACACAGCATCTAATCCATCAAGGGCACAAAGCTGGAATGATCCATGTCAGGTGAAAGAGAGAAGGGTTCACGCTCACTAAAAGACAGAGTCTTGTGTGTTTCCAAGGTGGATGAAGCATGCTGGAACTGCTTACACATACATCTCCATGGGAGTTGGCTACACATGAGGACTCTAGTGTACAAACAGAGAAAGGGCCCTGCTAGGCAGTTTCCTGTGAGGTCAGTAAGCTGCACTTTGGTTAAACTTGATTTCTCAAGAGGCTACAGCTCAGAAATCTCAAGCAAGAATTTCCTAAAATTTAGAATAGTCTGAAAACCAAAGCACAAGGTATAGGCACACTTTGCAATTGTAGATCTGTTCAGTCAGGGCCCATAGCACATGAGTTACCTGTGATGAAAAGAATGCCATGTCAGTGGCCTGTGTGTTTAGTGACCTTCAAACCTGTCAGATATATGTGTGATGGAATGCAGAATTTTGTGTAGTATTTTTTCACAGTCTCCATATACAGTCTTCATAGTCTTCAAGAGTCTCCAAGACAATCTCAAATTTAAAAACAGCCCTGTCTCAGCTATATAGAAAGTCCCTATCTCAAGCAAAATAATTAAGTAAATAAATAAGACTAGTTCATATGCTCTTATTCCAGGGCCATGGGAGTTTAAATTTTGCATTAATAAAACAACAATTATATCCCTAAAAACACACACTAGATGTCACAATTCTAGTAGCTGTGAGTGTGTATATTTTTTGTAAGGCGGGGGAATAAGGATATTCATTTGAATCCAGGTTTATACTAAGGTTTAACTGGTGTGATCACTTAAGGTAAGGTTAAGACTCACTGAAGTAAGTTGTTTAAATTCCTTTTGTACTGAAACTATAAAAATCCTGGTAGTAGATGTATTTAAGTTAAATATGGTTGTTATGGTTCTATCATACTAAAAATTACTCTATCTGGATTTTTTTTTAACAGAGCCAGATCTTCATGACCAACCAAAAAGGAGAAGAGTTAGAAGGCACAAATCCAAGAAAAATATTAAAAACCCTAATGATGTTGTGATAAAGCAAGCAGAACTAGAGACACAGCCAGGTCTTTTACAAGAGAAAATGCATGCAGATACCCCCACAATGAGCAAAAACAAAAGAAAGAAGCTGAAAAAGAAGCTGCAGCTGAGGAGGAAGAAAGCAGCCGGCTTAGTGACAAAGACCTTTGGGGTCAGTTTCATGTATCAGCCTGAGAGCAGCAGTGAGGCAGATGCAGATGATGTCGCAGGAGGAGAGGCCGAAGATGACCAGGAGGGCTCCGTCACAGATGCCACCCAGGAAGACATTGAACTTGCCAACAGCAAGGCAGAAGGCATCCTGAGTTTTCTCAAGTCAACACAAGAAATTTATTTTTATGATGGTAAGTGTCCCTACCCATGTCTTCCTTTGGATAGTGACATCCATTTAGTATTAGGAAGAATAACTAAGTGTAGTAAAATACTTACTGTATAAAACACATTAAAGTGTAGGTCATATCTGATAAGATATCAGAGTAACTTAGGGAAGAAGAGGGGGGCTGATTGGCTTTTATATGTTTAAAATAACATATAAATTCATCATGGTGGGGAAGTCAGGGCTGGGGAGCTTCAGGCTGCTGGTCCTATGGCATCCACAATCAGGAAGAAGGGAGCAGTGGATGTTTGTCCTCATCTCTCTTTCTCCCTTTTGTACAGTCCAGGATCCAAGTCTAAAACAATGCCCACCCACAGTGGATGGAGCTTCCCATTTTAACTAGCCCTATCTAGTATAGTCCACTGTAGACCGTCTCACAGCTGATTCTAGTTGACAGTTGGGACTGACCATCACAGTGTTCCAAGTAAACAGTAAGATTCAAGCTGAAACCCAGGACATTTCAATTCTTTCTAACATGAAACTACATTAGCCCATGTTATCTCTCCTGTGCGCCTTGGGAGAAATAACAGCCAGTGCTGTGAAGTCAATGCTCCCTCAGTAAAGTTGTGTTCCCTTGGTGAAGTTGGGGGCTCCACGTGAGGAGTGAGCTAATAGCTTTATTTCTCTAAGGTCAGGCTTTGGGATATGTTGGTGTTCGAGTCTGTGTTTCTAAACGAAGACCATTCCAGCTGGCAGCTTGTTTTTATTAGCTACCAGAGAAATAGAAGAGCCATGGCTTTTTCCTGGAGGGTCACTTTTTCATATACAACTTGCTGACTTGAGTTTTCTGTAAGCATTTCTGAGTCATTGTATATATACTTATAGGATATGAAAAAAAATATTTATTCTCATGGTTGACAATTGTTCATTTTCATACTGTTTTATTAGCATTTGACCTAAGGACCAGAAAGAGCAAGTGCCAATCAGGATCCACTGTGATCACATTCAGAAAGAGATGCACTGAGAGTTTGCTCCCCCATTTGAATGGCTGTTGACAGAAGTTTCTGTCCTGCCCAGTTCCTGCAGCCGTTCAATCACAAATAAACACACAGAGGCTTATATTAATTATAAACTGTTTGGCCTATAGCTCAGGCTTATTACTAACAAGCTCTTACAACTTAACCCATAATTCTTACCTATGTTTAGCCACTTGGCTTGGTACATTTTCTCAGTAAGGCATTCTCATCTTGCTTCCTCTGGGTCTGGCTAGCAACTGTGTCTCTGCCCTTCCTCTTCCCAGAATTCTTCTAGTCTGGTTGCCCCACCTATACTTCCTGCCTGGTTACTGGCCAGTCAGTACTTTATTAAACCAATACGAGTAACAAATCTTTACAGTGTACAAGAGCATTATGGTAGAGGGTGTGGTAGATGCAAATTTCAGCCAGATACTAAATGTTCTTAAAAGTACAACTGAGGGGGCTGGAGAGATGGCTTAGAGGTTAAGAGCACTGGCTGCTCTTCCAGAGGTCCTGAGTTAAATTCCCAGCAACCACATGGTGGCTCACGACCATCCATAATAAGATCTGGTGCCCTCTTCAGGCCTGCAGACATACATGGAGGCAGAATGTTGTATACATTAATAAATAAATAAATCTTTTAAAAAAAAAAAAAGTACAACTGAGACATATATAGTCATGTGATAAGTAACTGTTTACACTAATGTAAAAATATTCCTGATTTGTGTGTGAAATGCACCTGACACAGCAGGAGGTCTAACACTCACACAACCATAATTCAGGAAGAGAGTAGACATAACAGGAACTGTTTCTAGAGATGACAGCTGAACTTTTCAACCAGGTGAAGGACATACATACTCCAGCAAGACTGTCTTTTTTGTTGTTGTTGTTGTTTTGAGACAGGGTTTCTCTGTGACTTTGGAGGCTGTCCTGGAACTAGCTCTTGTAGACCAGACTAGTCTCGAACCCACAGAGATCTACCTGCCTCTCCCTCCCGAGTGCTGGGATTAAAAGCGTGCACCACCACTATTCAGTGTTTATTGCTGACCACAGCAACTCTTATAAAGGAAAATATTGCAATGGGATTGGCTGACAGTTTCAGAGATTTAGTTCAGTATTATCATGGAGGAGACCATGGTGGCACATAGGCAGACATGGTGCTGGAGGAGCTGAGAGTTCTACATCTTGATCTGCAGGCAGCAGGAAGAGAGAGACAGTTGGCCTTGCTTGAGCTTCTGAAACCTCAAAGACCACCACCACACCACACCCCCCGCTGTGACATACTTCCTTCCACAAAGCCACACCTATTCCAGCAAGGCCACACCTCCTAATAGCGACACTCCCTGGTGACCAAGCATTCAAATCTCTGAGCCTGTGTTGGCCACTCTTATTCAAACCACCACAAGTACTAACACCATCAACCACAGAAGGCTGGTGACAAAGTAAACCCTGAAACTGGCAAAGAAAATGAGGTACATACTACAGTGGAATTGTATCCAGATGCAAAGAGATTGAAACTGTGACCCTTACAGGAAACTGGAGCTAAGATCATCATGATGTTCAGTGAAACAACCCAGACTCGGATATACAAGCACCGCCCCTCTTTAGTAAGGGGACCATGAGATGGAGGAAGAGAGCCAAAGAAAGTGGGGAGGGACAGCAGAGGGGATGGAAAACATGTGACACAGGACCACAAAGAGTGGTGATGGCAGCAGGAAAAGGCAGTGATGAGGCAAATAAGAACCAGGTGTACATGTGAAAATGAAGTGACTAAAAATAATAAGTCAACAAATGGAAAGTTTAAAAGATCTTTAAAAGAGCCAAAGAAAAAAGACCTTATTGTCTTTCCAAGACAGACACCTAGACCAATGGACCTTTCAGAGAACAAACAAAGCTGGCCTCTTGGGTGGGTTTCCTTGATTTGTGCTAAACAGCCAGAACTCTTGCTCTGTTGCTGATGTTTTTAAAGACCTGTAGCATGCCTTTGAGCTTTGTTTCCTTGTCTGTTTCTTCCTGCTGCTGTCTCTGACTCCGACCACTGTGTTATGCTCAGGAGGTGTTTAAAAGATCAGACACACACGAGCCAACATTCCGGTGTCGTTCCAATAGTGGCACATTATCATCTTTCTTTCCATAGTTCTATTCCAGTTATCTCCTGGGAGCTCGTTATATTCCGTACATCTCATCACCAGAGGAATGTGTATTTGAGGACTCTTAAAGAATTGAAAGTTTATCTTGAAACTCAGGTTCTGTGGGACTTGTTCCAGATACTTCTGAAGGCTTCGATCCAGCTGTGTGTATAGAAACAGCTGAAGAGCTGCTTCACCTCCTCGAGTCTCGGCGCATGCCTGCTTCCGATGTGCTCATTCTGGACCACATGAAAACTCTGCTGCTTCTGCAGGACACTGAGAGACTGCAGAGCGCTCTGGAGATGTTCCCAGAGCACTGTGCAATGCCCCCTGGTAAGTACCACAGCGTCTACTTAAGGATGTTCCCTGGACCTGAGCATAAAAAGATACTCAAAAGACCCAGAGGAATAGAACCCTCAGAGAAAGGGGCTCTATATGCTTATGGTTGGCATAAAAAGATGTCTCATAATGGATGCAAAAATGCATGTCATCTAATTTTTGGTCTTTGAGTTAAAAGTTTTCATTGGGAGGGGGAACTCTACGTTTAATTGGAAGTAGAATAATTCATTTTTTCCTCTTTTCTCTGCTGATTTGGTAGAGGGTGAAGTTTTCTGTCTTCCAAAGATCTTGGTGCCTTATTAAAATCTCACCGTGGGGACAGTTAGAAAGAGTATTAGATTACTACAGTGGTCTTTCCTTTTTCACTTCTCCAATCATTTTTGGTTCCCTGCTGTATGCAAGCTGTAGTATGTGTGTTATCAGGCTTGGTGTGTGGTCCTGTTAGAGGCCCAGGGTTTGTCCAGAAGGATCGGAGAAGGATGAGGGTCAGTGGTCACCTGGATGGACTCTGGAGGAGTCTGAGAGTCAGTGGTCACCTGGATAGAGCTGAGGGGAAGGTAGAGGACAAAGGCTTCTTTATGACGGATGAATAAGGAATCATAAGAGACTTGAGCAAAGATGACCCATGACAGACCAAGTGAGAGAACACATAGGGAAGGAAACTGAAGAAGGCAGTAGGGCCAAAGAAGCTCATGGGAAGTACGGTGTGCATCGCAGTAAAAGAAAACTCAGATGCTCCCCTGAAAGCAAGAACCACCACCTAACAGACCTGAGGCTAGTTGCCATTATTGTGCTTACTGTATTAAGTATTTGACAAATTTAAACATCCATTAACGTCTTATACCAAACAACTGCAAAGGAGTTTTATTAAAAAAAAAAGAAAAAAAAAAAAAGTCAAGGTTAAGGAGATGGCTCAGTGGATATGAGCACTCACTATATATGCATGGGAGCCCAAATGTGAATCCCAGCCCCCACCCAGAAAGAGAGGAATGAATGCATGTGCCTGAGTCTCCAGCAATGCAGTGAAGACACACAGATCCCAGATCACTGGCCAGCCGGCCTATCCAATGGTGAGCTTCCATTTCAGCAAGAGGTACTATCTTAATAAGATGGAAGCCATAGAGGAAGACGCCTGAAATCTTGCTTTGGCTTCTGCACGCACAGGACCACACATACCACACCCCACACCACACACCACATAACCACATAACCACATAACCACATACCATGCATACTACACCACACACCACATAATCACACTCACCACACATTACATACCACACCGCACACCATACGTAACATACCACATACCACACATACCATGTCACACACCACATAACCACACCACATACCACATAACCACACACATCATACCGCACACCACATAACCACACACCATACCACCACCACATGCCACGTAATCACACATACCACACCACATAACCACACACACACCACACCACACATGCAACATGCGCGCGCGCACACACACACACACACACACACACACACACAAACTCGAGAACTGTTTTAAAAAGCGAACTGTTTGAAGCTAGTTTTATTCAGCTAAACTAATGGGAACGTCTTATGAGATTGTCCTGTTCTGGCATATCATAAGACCTTCATGTATCTATCCTGAGGCACATCTGGGGTGTGTGCTTGAGGGGGGAGACTCTGCATTGTTGGAGTCACTGATTCTGCCTTAAGGTTATTGAACAGATTAGATTTCAGACACATTTGCCACAAGCAATCGATAGAGCTGAAGCTTGTACATGAATCTGTTCTTTTAACATGGGTTCCCTCAAAGCACCAGGTAGGATATGCACTTCAAATTGTTTCTGTGTCAAGCTATTTTGTGGAACAGTTTCACAAACAATAAGACATTAAATTCTTAAATACCAGGGTTACCTAAGGAGATGTGGCCTGTGCAACTCTTTGGGATCAGGTTTTATTCTCCGTAAGTGAGCTTATGAAGTGTAGTAGCAGTGTGCGTCAGCCCTAGGGTCTGAACTTAAAAGCAGGCACATGTGTCCTGCCCACGTTATCTTCTCCCCATTGCTGGGGATTCTCTTCTGAGCCCACAGAGGCCCCACTGCAAAGGGGCTCAGACACCTTTCACAGGCTCACTGCCTTCAGGGTGTGAGGGCCACATGGGTGCTAAGGAAAGCTCAGACTCACACTCCCTTGTTCCTTTGTTGTCACAGACCCCTTTATGAGTCTGGATGCCATTTGCTGAGCTGACCTCTGTCACGCTCAGACACGTATGACGAGGTGGGGATGTCTGCACTGAACCCCCTGTATTCACTGTGTGGAGCTTCCTTACATTATCCCAATAGAGAAAAAAGAAACAGGTCAAACACCTTGTCCCCGGGCAATAATAATAATAATAATAATAATAATAATAATAATAATAATAATAATAAATAAAGCATTAGGAGAATCTCAGAGGGCTGTGTGAAATAAAGGGGAACTTGGACACCCCACCTCAGCACCAGGACTCCCGGATACTGTATACTACATAGTTAGGAAGTAAAGCATCAGACAGACCACATCAAGGGCAGCCCTGGGGTTTGGCCAGACCTGGGGAGGGGTCCCCTCTGCCCCCACCCTCTACCTCCAGGCTCAGGGTTAGCTTGTATTCTCTGTAGCTGTGAACTTTAGAAGTAGAACCATCCTAAACTAAACTCTAGATGTCACTCACATGCAGCACAGTGTGACTATAAAACCTGATGTTGGAGAAAAGTCATGACTCCTTAGGAAGGGACTGGAGGGTGGAGGTGATGTTGGAAATGTGCTTTGTCCCCTTGGCTGAGTTTTTGGTGTCCTGGCACAGCATTGCCATCATGAAAGCCAAAGGCTGTGCAACTAACTCCTGGTACACACCGCTTAGGATTCTATTTCTTTCCTTGACACGAACTTCTATTTTCTTTTTTATTTTCATTTGCGTTGTATCACTGTCAACTTTTTTTTATGCCAAAATGGCATTTTATTAGATTGTTTCAGAGTATTCTCTGGGCCCAAGGACTCAAACCTATAAAATAGTTATTATTATTTATGATTTTATTTTTTGTTTGTTCTGTTTTTGTTTTTGCCTTACAGACCATGCAAAAGTAATCTCAGCTTTTTTTAATTATTGGATCACACATATTCTTCCTGAAAAACAAAACAGCGAATAAAGTATTGTGTCTTTAAGAAGAGCTACCTACTGTCTAACAAGAAGATGTTAAATACAAATATGACACGAACTGAGACTTCATTCTTGTACATAAAGATTTATTTTCTTTGTGACACAAATTGGATACATTGAAGACGTTTCTACCTTATTTATTTCTGTGTTTTTGTATTGTAGGTAAGGTATTAAGTGAGAAACGGGTAAAATTGAAGTGTTTTCACTTGCTTATCATCACATATGTTTTGAATTACTACATAAAACCTGATTTTTTTCTAATGCCTGTCAAATTAAAAAATTGACATTTTATTAAATAAACAATATAGCTCTTATCTATGTTAGAAATAGTATAAAGAATCTGTTTTTCTTGTTTTGTCCTTTATATTAAGGGAACAGCCACCAGTGTGTAAATGTTGAGCTCTAAAAGCATTAGTCACTTAACCACACAGGTCCTGAGGAAGACCAAGGTACAGAATATACACATATGTAAATGTCATATGACTTCTGTTATTCCCCACACTTCGTGCTACCTTTTAAAACAAACTTAGAATGACAGGAAAGAATGGTAAGCTGGAGTCAGTACACCTGGGTCTAGTCTTCAGCCATGAGTTCATTCAAGCCTCAGTCTCTTCTATACATAATGTCCCATTATGCTTGTGACTTCACACACTTGATTCTCCATTTTCATCTCTGCAGCATTTATCCTTGGTAATGTCTAGGGAGCATCTCCAATTTAAGATGAGGCAACTTTGATGGCTTCTTTCCTGGTGCCCGCCAGTTGCTTCTTTAGGCACCTATGCAGGGTTACACATTAGTTTGGAGCAGGGAGAATGGGATGGGGACAGGTGCAATAATTGTAACTCATAACTTTTGCATATAATTCTGTTTCAAACAGAAAAATGTGTAGAAGCAGAGCTTGCCTGTATTATGTTCAGATAACCACAGCTAATCTGTTTATCCTGCTATGATTGAAGTCAATAGTAATGAGATCACTTTCTCTCCTACAGTGTTGCAAACTGTGCCTACAGCCCTCTTTAATCTCTGCAAACCTTTGCGGAGACAAAGAAAAGCGAGCTCTTAAGAATATAGGGAAGTCTTGTGAGATTGCTAATGAAGGTTATCCTACAAAAGGGGCGGGGGGGGGGGGGGTGTTTTCTAAGCTGATTGCTGTTAGTGTCATTTTGCACAAACTGGAGCAGTGACAGCAGGTGGAGACACCTCCCTAGCTGTGCTGGTGCCCAGCATTGCTGCTTCCATAGCTGAACTGTGCTGAGCTCCCTACACTCTAGTACCACCTGATCCATTCTGAGTTGTCCCCCACCTAACCCTGAGTATGTCTTCTGCTTCCAGAGCACTGTATTCTGAAACCCTGACAAATGCATTTCTCCTTCTCCAAGCATGTCTGTCCATGGAGCACGTCCATGCAAACTGCAGCCACAGAGAGTCCTTTGCAGTTCCAAGGGGGCTTTACATCTCACCTTCCAGGGCCTTTTAGCTACAATTCCTATTCTGCTACTAATACACAACAAAAAATTCTGTTTGAGACAGCACTGCTTTGCACCCCACAGTGTTTGCAGGTCAGGTCTGGTCACAGCTAGACTAGGTACTCTGCTTGGGGGTCTTGAAAAGACTAACAAGAGATAGATCATGGCTGCTTCCATCCACACCTGTGATTGTAGGACTGAAGTCCTGTGTCCTGTTTGGCTCTCATATACATCCTCTCTCGGCCTCTTAAGGCTCAGAGTCCCAACCACGATGCTTTGATGCTTTGGGGAGAGAGTTCAGTCCAAAGCTCTGGGAAAGGTTGAAGAAAAAGTGGCAGGTGGAAGGAATAGGGCTCTATCTGTTTAGCAGCCTTTATCGCCAGGCCTCCCTCTCTCTAGGCTCACATTGCGGACTCCAGATATTTTACCTCTCAGCAGCACAACCTAAAACTGCTCCCTGTTTTGAGTGGATGCACTACTCTTAACCCCTCTTTCCCCTCTTCCTGGCTCTTTCCCTCTCTTACCTGTTCCCTGAATGATGTCACTGTTTTCTCATTGGACTTTGGTCCTTGGTCCCTCTAAGACCCAGTCAATCCCCTGGGAGGCCTCAAGCTGATCTGTTACTCTGGTCTCTGATAAGCTGTGGTTGCCCTGAGCTGTGTTGTAATTAATTTCCCAGGCCCGCCTACCCAACAACTACTGATGTGACTGACATCTAGTCGGAGAGTATTTTACCTGAGGCCCCTAGTACATGATGGTCTCTTGATCATGTGCCCCGTGGTGCAACCATGTTATGGCTCATGCTGAACAAGCAGCCCCAGTAAGCAAGGAGGGCCTCCTAGTCCAGAGACCACATGCCAACATAGCAGCTAGGGGGAAATGGCCTGTGTAGAACATTATCTTCTGGTTTCTGACAGCTCAGGTCCTGATGCTAACAGCTTGTCCACAGCAATCCCATTTAGCTTTCATGTCTCCTTTGAGACAGGACAAGACACTTAGTTTCTTATCCTAAGCCTAAATTATGGCTTCATCCTTATCGAGGAAAATCAAATAATTTCCATTCCTATTATGCCCCTCCAGAAAAAAATTATTTGGGGACTGTGGTAATGGGACAGACTGGTACAGATGCAGATGCAAATGCAATTTGGGCAGCTGCCTCTAACACTGGCCACCATGCCTCCACCACCATGATGGACAGAACTGTCTGAAACCATGAGCCGAAAATATTCCCCAAGGTGTTTTTTGTTAGGCATTTTGTGCAGCAATGAGAAATGTGGCTAACACAGGAGGGGGGTTAGGAGTGATTAGGAAGTGCCTGGATTTGATCAGTGAATATGCATGTGTTAAAATGTCACACGGTAAATGTCCTCCCCTGATAATGAGATTGATGACTGACTTATATGCCACCCGATAGCCCTCATCCAGCAGCTGGTGGAAGTAAAAGCTGACACCCACAACTAATCACTGAACTGAACTGGAATCCAGATGCAGAGAAGGAGGAGTGAAGAGCAAAGGGGTCCAGACCTTTCGCCTTCTGGTGAAACCCACAGAAACAGCTGACCTGAACATCGGGGAACTCTTGCTCCCCGGACTGATAGCTGGGATACCAGCATGGGACTGATCCAGACCCCAGGAACATGGGTTTCAGTGAGGAAACCTCGGAAATCTACGGGACCTCCTGTAGTAGTTCAGTACTTATCCCTAGCATAGGTGTGGACTTTGGGAGCCCATTCCACATAGAGGAATACTCCCTGAGCCAAGACACACAGGGGTGGGCCTAGGCCCTATCCCAAAGGATACAATAGACTCTGATGACACCCTATGGAAGGCCTCACCATACAGGGGAAGCAGAAAGGATATGTGATAGGTAGGGTTTTAGTTGGTGGGGGTAGTAGGGGAGGACAGGAGGGACAAGGGAACTGGGATTGTCATGTAAAACAATCTTGTTTCTAATTCAAATAAAAATATAAATAAAAAATAAAAATAAAATGTCACACGGAAGCTCAGTATTCATGATTGACAATTACTCAAAATAACATAAGATAAAGCAAACAGTTAGTCCCACTTATGTCATTCCAGGAGGAAAGCTGGAGTCTAGGTTTGTCATCAATGGAGAAAGAGGAATTTCTGACATTTCGGTGGTTAACTTCGGCCTTCAACAGCTGAACCATTTCTCCAACACAAAAGTAATTTTGAGCAAACTGATCCAGTAGTAACTTTCTTCATTTTCTGGTGACTGGGAAAATGAGCTAATGCTAAGGTTATAACAGCTTGTTAGTTAATAGCAATCCTTGGAGAAGGGGCATGCCCACTTAGGCGACTGTGGATGCAGGTGTGGGTGGTATCTCAATCCTAAGTCTCCATGCAGGTGTCAAGCTCATGTGACCTTCTTTTCAAGGGGATTCAGGTTCCTGACTTGACAGCCCCCCACCAAGTGTGTTATTGAGTTTAGAACAGGTATGGATTAGTGTTTACTTATAACCACACATCTTCATTATCAAAAGTGGTCATAACTAGTGGTTGTGAAATAATCACATGTCGAATGTGACAACTTTCTTAGAGCTAGGGTACCTTGGGAATTGGAAAACATCCTACCCATCAAGAACAATAATAAATACACAGCTCCCTCAGAGGGCGTGTAGTATATAAGCCTTACACTAGGCCTGCTGTAAACAGCCCATCTGTCCAGACCTGAGCTTTGGTTTCCACTCTAAATGTGGGGCTAGTAACAGCCTAATGTGTCTGTCTTAGCTACTTTTCTACCACTATGATAAGAGTGCATGTCCAAGGCAGCTTATAGAAGAAAAAGAATATTGATTTAGTTTCAAAGGGGTAGAATCTATGATCATCATGACAGGGAGCATGGCAGCAGGCAGGCAAGCATGGAATTGGAGCAGTAACTGAGAGCTCACAAGTAAAAGACAGAAACTTGGGATGGTACAAGCCTTTTGAAATCTCTAGCTCCACCCCTAGTGACACACCTCTTCCCACAAGGTCACACCCTCTAGGTCCTTCCCAAAAAGTTCCACTAACTGGGTACCAAGTATTCAAATATATGAGTCCATAGGGCCATTCTCATTCAAGCCATCACAACTGGAGAGGATCAAATAGGCAACTCTGGGCATCACAGAGGCTGATGGGGGGAGGGGGAGTCTGAGACACTCTGCTGCCCTCCAGCCTGGTTAAGCATTGACAGAGGATTTGGAGCCAGGCTCTGCTCTTGGAGCCAGGCTCTGCTCTTGGAGCCTCTGGAGAGTCTCATTCTTGAGAGGTAATTCAGTGGCTTCATGTATTGCCTGTACTACTGGTGGCAGCACACCCATGAGCCCTCACTTGCTGTTCATATCGTGGTGTGAAAAGCTCTACCTGAAACTGGTTTCCGGTCTGTATTTTGTTAAATGTCAATTTAGAAAAATCTTAGTCCTTGAGAGAGCCAGAAACCTTTTCCAGGTCTCTTCTAGTTACTCTAAAGAGTTTTTTTTCCTTCCAGTTTGTGGAGAATGACTCTGAATACATAAGAAAATAATCCTATTTTTTTCCTCCTTTTTAATTAGAGCATTTGAAATGCTGTGTATGTTCTGCTTGAATCATTCTGGCTTGTAATATGCTAAAACTAGTTTGAGTCAGCATGGACTTCACCTAGCTGAATCTCCTAATAGTTTAGGGAGATTTTAATTAAGCACCTGCGAAAAAGTAAATGGGTTATGATGATTTTTGATAACAGCTGTCGTTTCAGACAGATAATGCCAAACACTCAGAAAAAGAACTGAAGTATCTCCATTTAATTATACATGTCTCCATTGGACTTCACAGTAAGGTCACTGGATACAGGAGATGGAGGAAATTCAGAAACAGCCCAGAAAGTTGGGTCAA